CCCATCTGTGGAAAGTGTCCATACTATTTGTTTTCTCTGGAATGCGTATCTTCTTCCCAGTCAAGATGCCTTTATTGCAGCTGATTCATTACACACCTTCTGCCATCTGGTGGTAGGTTACTGAGCCTATATGAGGAGACCAGTCACATACAGCCTTTTGATATTTGGAAACCAAAGCAGGACCTATGCTCTCCAATACTGTCCCCACATCAATGGACAGTGCCTAATTAGCAGGTTATTTCTTTGTTGGTAAGAATCTTTCATTTTAAATGCTTACAAAATTTTGGAGGAGGAAAGAAGATGAGAAATATTTACTGGTCTATGTGTTGGGAACTGTTACAACTGCTAAGTTAAACTGCTAGAAGTTCTACAGGGTAGACACTATTATGCTTATTTTATATATCACAGAACAGAAAGGTAAATATTCTGTCAAGGTCATGCAGCTTGTAAGTAAGTGGTAGAGCCAAAATATGAAACAAATTTAGCTGACTTGAAGGCTGTGCTGTTTCCATTCACTACATTGACTCTAAAGAGTGGGGGGGGGGAAGGGGAGCAAGTGACTTATTTATGTGTAAATCACTGGAGGCCTCCCCAATGTCAGACTGAAATTAACTGGGTTATAAACAACTAAGATATATTAAGACATGATATTATATATACTTTTTTAGATGAATGCTGTTCTGATATCAGATTTCCTCATTTCTACCATAAATTTAAGGATTCAGTAGGGTCAAGTATTTGAGACAGCCTGGATTTAGTAATCACAGACCTGATTTTGTTCAAGTTTGTTTCTGTCTCTTAAATGTATGAATCTGGACATGTCAGTAGGTGTCCCTAAGACTTAGTTTTCTCATACTATAAAATGGTAATGTGTATATAGTATTTGGTCTATAGAGTAATAAACATTAAATTAAATATATAGACAAAGTGCTTAGTTCAGAGCCTGACAGAATTTGTGCTCAATAGCTGACAAGGATTGTCATTACTAATTATGAGAGGAATGAGTGGGAATCTTTTTTGGCCCTGTAAATATTCCTCAGATGAAGATATCCCTGATGCATCTTCTTAGAGATGGAACAGTAAGTTATTCTTAATTTCTATCCTTGGCCCTACTTAACATTTAAATGAAAGTAGTTCTTAGCCAAACATTTCAGAGTCTTAGTACTTAACCTGTGATAGTTTTAAATCACTGGCGAATAAACATTTTTTGGTAATATTTGTAAGGTAGATTTTGATATTTATATCAGTGTTGTTGAGGCAAAGAAATGGAGTACCATCCTCAAATATTCTTAATGTAACTTTTTTGTGTATATAAGCATGTTCAATTCTCCCTTGACTTATTGAAATAGAAATACATGACATTTTAATTAATTTGATACATTTATTGTCTTGTTATATATAGTTCATCATTTTGTAGAATACTTTGCAATGAATTCACTTAAAAATATTTGTTATTTATTATATGCCAGGTGAGAAGTTACTTTACAAGTCCTAAGACATAAGAAAAAAGTTAGTAAATATAAAAATATCAAGTATTAAGTAAAAATATCAAGTATAAATATATCAAGTATCAAGCACTATGCCTCATATAGGAGATATAAAAATTAATAAAGTACTGTCTTTTTACTCAATGAGGTTAAAGTCTGGTTTATCATCATAATTTAATGAAATTAGTATTATTAAGTACATTCATTGAGAGATGAGGAGACTGAAGTTAAGAGAAGTTGAAATAATTCACATAAGTTCATACAGAGAGTAAGAAGTACAGTCGCAGTTTGGGTTAATCAAATATTTTTATAATATTGTTTTATTTCTTATATTGACTTTGTAACTATATCTAGTTATTTATTATTTATTTATTTTTAAAAGTTTTATTTTAATTTTTGAGAGAGACGGAACACAAGCAGAGGAGGGGCAGAGAGAGAGGGAGACACAGAATCTGAAGCAGACTCCAGGCTCTGAGCTGTCAGCACAGAGCCTGATGCAGGGCTCAAACCCACAAACTGTGAGACCGTGACCTGAGCTAAAGTCAGATGCTTAACCCACTGAGCCATCCAGGTGCCCCCAGTATAGTGGTCTTTACAAATGTATACTGGGGGCGCCTGGGTGGCTCAGTCGGTTAAGCATCCAACTTCAGCTCAGGTCATAATCTCGCAGTTTGTGGGTTTGAGCCCTGCATCAGGCTCTGTGCTAACAGCTTGGAGCCTAGAGCCTGTCTTCAGATTCTGTCTCCCTCTTTCTCTGACCCTCCCTTGCTCATGCTGTCTCTATCTCTCTCTCTCAAAAATAAATAAAACATTTTTAAAAATGTATACTTGATGTTGTGGGTGAGACATAATTTATGGATTATGCTGTTTTCTTTGCTGAATTCTGAGTTTTTCTGGATGACAGTCAATTCATAGTGATCCCTTAGATCTTGTAGAGAGGTGTTTCTCAACCAGGAGTAATTTCTCCCATCCTAGGAGATATTTGGCAATGTATGGTGATATTTTTGGTTGTCACAACTTGAAGGTAATGATAGTATATGGTAGGTAGCGATCAGGAATGCTTCTAAACATCTTCAATTCAAAGTAAAGCACCCTACAACAAAGAAAGATCTGATCCAATATTTCAATAGTGTTGAGGTTGAGAAAGCCTATTGTAGATGTTTTAAACGTTGTTAGAAAGGGTATAGTACAGTTCCCCACTGTCCCCCCCACCCTCAGAGTATTTCCCTTATTCTAGGACACAGTCCTCATTTCTAATGTGTGGCCTTTGTAGGGTCTTAACTAAATGCCCAAGGTACTAAGTGAGGTCTCTCTATTCCACTGAGACTGGCTAGAACTCTAAAGTCTCACAGCACTTTATAACCACCTATATCTTTATTCAGGAATCACTTCACAGCAGCTGTTCTCTAGATGGACTCAGTTTTACCCTGCTCAAGTGCAGTCTAGTGCCTGGCCAAAGTCATGAAGGGCACCTCCATGCAGAGTTCTGGGGACCCAACTTTTCACATCTTCCCCATCTCAACTGTCTTTCCCTTTAAATTATAGCCTCTTAAGCAACCCTAAATTCTAAACTTTGTCTCCTCTGACTAATGAGACTTCCACTTTCTGTACTTAGATAGATAGAAATATGTGGTCAATATGAAGCTCACCCTACATGTTTCCCTTCTGTCAAGGATTATAGCCCGGTATAGTTCTTCGTCCAGTGCTTGTAAACAATTGCCCCATATACTTTGTACAGTTTTATAGTTTGCAGTGAGAATATTTCCCATACTAGTCATTCAATCAAGGCCAGAGTTAGATATTTCATACTGGAATTGAATGTCAAGTCTAAATCTTAGGTATCCTTATCATTCTTTGAGATTAACAAGATATTCTTTTAATCAGAAGTAATTCTTTGGTAATAGATGAAGATATCATTGTAGCTTCCTTCTCTAGAAAATACTAGAGAGGAGCATTTCTGATTGACCTTCTTATTCCATTCTCCAAGGAGCCATTTAAATGTTGGCTAATGAGAACATACAAATAATGCCTTCTCTCTACCAGTGATAATAATAGCTATCTTGTATTGTAGCTTTCTATTGCCAGCACTGTGCCAGTAGACTTACATATATTTTATTTTATTTAATGCTCACAGCAGCCCTATTTCTTTTATTTTACTTTTAAGGGAACTGAGGCTCTATCAGGTTGAGTAACTTGCTCAAGTTTTTAGAGCTAGTGAAGTGACAGAGCTGAAACAAAGGCTTACGTTTGTCTGACTCTAAAGCCTTAAATGTATATCAGACAGAGCAGGACAAATGATGTTTCAAGCAACCCCTAAAACTCAGTGGCTAACCACAGTAACAGTTTATGAAAGTGTTCTTCTCATTCCCAATACATTCCAGTAAGGGTTTGTTGTCAATGCCTCCTCATGCCATCCTTCTTTCCTGTGGCCCCATCATTCCCTGTGGACTTGGAGTTCTTTGCTCCTACTTCATCAGAAGACAAAAAGAGAATGTAGAGGAGCAAGCTGGAGGCTTTTCAGGCTGGTAAGTGGAGAACATCATTTGTGATCACATCCTGTTGGGCAGAAGTCAGTTATAGAATCTGTCTCGAGGCCAGGAAATATAATCTGGCTATGTCCTCAAGAAAAAAAAAAAAAGGGTTTTGTTAAAGAACTAGCTAGTCATTAAGCCAGATTCTCCCCTAAGTTGCTAGTTGGGAAGCATTTATACACTTTTCTCTAAATGCCGTTTTTTTTTGTTTGTTTGTTTTTAATGTGGAGTTTAAGAAGCAAAACAAATGAACACAGGGAGAAAAGTAGAGATGAAACCAAGAGATAAACTCTTAACTAGAGAGAACAAACTGATGATTACTTGAGAGGTGGGGGAGGGGAATGGGTTAAACAGGAGATGGGCATTAAGGAGGGCACTTGTGTTAAGCACGAGGTGTTGTATGTAAATGATAAGTCACTAAATTCTGTACCTGAGACTGGTGTTGCACTGTATGTTAACTAGCTGGAATTTAAATAAGGATTTAGGGAAAAAATAAAACACTTGTATCTTAAAATAAACAAATTTTTCTAGGCTGAGACTTGGTTTAGTATCACACATTATTATCCTTGAGGTTAGTGAAAGTTAACACGAATCATGTCTTGAGACAATTAGGATCTTCAGAGATCATGTATCATATTGTCTCTCAGAGGGGCAATAATAATTATCAATATCCCCAATTTTAAGGTATACATTTTGATTCCTCATTTTTAATACTTTAATCGATAGATGGTATCTACATTATTTTAGTTAGGACACCACTTGCTCTCCTATCATTCCCTTCTCTCATATGCTGCTTTGACCTGGGCTACTGAGGAGTCAGTGCCCTTTTTTCTTGGCCTTTATCTTGTCCGCATATCAGGATTTCAGAATGGTATCTTCCAGTGAAAGCTGAGAGTCTATAAACACAAAATGGGTGTCAGGAACTTTCTAACTGTCCTAAAACCAATATCAGTGCTAAATTAAGAGCCAAAAAATAATTACTATTGCTTCTCAGCTTTTTGGCTAAGATAAAGTATAGTATTTGTTCTTATCAGTTTGATATTTGAATGTCCTCTATCCTAGGACAATATATTAAATGGATTTTTGGAGCAGGGAGATGGATACACGAGCTGGCTCTATACACTCCGTGCATCAACCTGGTGTCATGATACTTCTAGGAAAGGTGTACCCATTGTGGTTATAAACGACAAATTTGAGGAAGACACTTCCAGAAAAGGCTGTGTAGGTTCCTTTGGGAAATGGTGGCAACGCAAGGGACACCAACAGTTAACTTAGAAAGAGGCAAATGGACAAAGCACTTTGATCAGGTTGCTTTGCTCGCCCACCTTTCTTTTGATTTGAGAACATCCATACCATTTGTTTGTTTGGAGTGTTTGTTTGGAGTGTTTGAGCAAATTCCCTGAATTTCATTACAACTGCACTTGCCCTAAACCTGGACCTCCTTTGCCCTCCTTATGCCAACACATCTAACATTTCCCCGTCTTTAATATCTTTCCTCCTCATTCATCCTGCAGAGGACTGCCATTATCTTTTGAAAGTGCAATTCACATTAGGTCTTATTCTCGCTCAGACACTTTTGGCACCAGTGGCACATTTCTGTCTCCAAATCACAGCTCTCCCTTACATCTCTAACTTTGTGTGTGGGTTCTTCCCTCATTCACCCTCTGATCCAGTCAGACTGGTGCCCTTTGTGTTCCCAGAACTTGTTCCATGCTGTTTCACATCTATGACTTTATGAATGGAGTTCTCTGTATCTGGGAACCTCGTCTCTCCTCCTCAAAATCCTGCCCAGTTTTCAGGGCCCAAGTAAAACCTGATCTCTTTCATGAAGACTGCACCCACATTTCTGGTTAAATAAATCTCTCTCTTACCTGTGTTTGTGTAGCACTTTTTACTGGTCATAGTCAGCTTTGTGTCTCATCTTCTCTGCTAGGCCACAAGAGTCTAGGAATTAGGTATTTTGTGAACCTTCCTATCCACCTCCTGCAGTGCCCAGTATCACTCCTTGCTCAGCAAAGATGCTTAGAAATGCTTATTGGGCAAAATTAAAAGCAGACGGTGATATCAACTGTACAAAGACTTTTTCCTCAAGTTAATCTGGAAACTGAAAATAGACTATCCTCAAAATGATTAGTAATGTACTTGAGATAAATTACTTATGTACAACCTAAAAGTGCATTTAAATGGACTCTCTTTAAAAAAAAAAAACAGAAACAATTCCTTCAAAAAGTTAATTTTCTAATAGATCTTTAGTATTTTATTTTTAATGTTTATTTTTGAGACAGAGAGACAGGGAGGGGCAGAGAGAGAGTGAGACACAGGATCCTAAGTAGGCTCCAGGCTCTGAGCTGTCAGCACAGAGCTCGACGTGAGGCTTGAACTCCCAAACTGCGAGATAGTGACCTGAGCCAAAGTCAGACGCTCAAGGGACTGAGACACCCAGGTGCCCCTATGATATCTTTTAATGGTCTGCATTTTCTCAAAGATAATATTAAATACTCTAATTAGGTAGGAAGAAAGGTTGGAATTATCCCCATAAAATGTATTCTGATTTCCAGTTTCCAAAAAGGCATCTGAAATGATAGGTATCAAGTGTGCCTGCAGTGCGCTACTGCCCGTGGCTTCGTTGGCAGTGTTCTAGATACAGTTCTGCTTGTAGATTGGTTCTGTCCAGGAGAAGCACAACTTTTGTTGGAAAGCACAGCCGCTGGTGCAGCATCTAAACGAGTCATCTATAGGAGAGAGATCCTTCAGAGAGGATGTGTATCTTCATCAAAATTCTAACTGCGTTGAAACTGTCACTCAAAGAGTTAACATCTTTGCAGAATAAAAAATGCAATGGAGAGGTTTCAGGCAAAGCATGGGGAGCCTGATAAAATTATCAGTGAATTAAATTCAGACAGATGGCTTTGGAAAGAAATGAAGTACACAAACCTTATGTAGAGTATAATGACTCTCACTCTGACAGGGGCTTTGTCAACAGGGTAAGCGCTTTTTTTTTTAAACTGGATTTTAAAGCAGTTGGAAGTCAAATTCTTCTCTATTTCTGAAGGTGTTATTTAGTACTTAAACAACAAAAACTACAATAGTTTGTAAAGCCACCTGGACAGCCTCAGACTCCAAAGCTCTGGGTGGAGGTGCACAGCGTGACCGAAGGCACAGGGTAGGCGTCAACTGCTGCTGCTTCTTACTCTTCTCAGACTCACTGCCCACATCAATAGGTCCTTGGCAGCTAAAGTATTTCTACAGAACAGAGGCCAGTCATTAGCTCTGCTTACAACAGCAGGATAGCAAGGGAAGCTTCCTGCCATTTAAACACACACATGCTGACGAAAGACACAAATAGACTGATTTCTGTTTTTTAAAATTTCAGTTTTTACCGTTGTTTGTGGTCGTATTAAAAAAAAAAACCTCTTAGAAAGAGCATCCCATTCAATACTCTCGCTTTATATTTAGACAGAAATGACAGGAAAATAATATGTTATTTCTCTCTCAGGAATTCTTTTTCCTTATAGTTTTTATTTTATCTTCACGCATTTGGCTCCAGGAGCCCCCTCTTTCTGGTGACTAGCCCTGCCATCTTCATGCTTGCACGCCGAGGCCCAGGCTGCCTCTTAGCAATGGACTTTGCCTTTGTTCCAGACCAGATGTTCTGTTTCTCCCTGGTAACAGTTTGCATTGTGGTACCTTATTATACGGTGCTCTCTGGAACTGGTGCCAGGGTAGCCTCCGAATCAGCCAAGAGCAGCGCCGAATCAATGAGACAGCTGGCGGCCTCCCGAGGGAGGGAACGTTTTTACCTTTTTGATTCATGCAGTCTCCGCTAGTTCAGATCCAGGATGCCATGAATGATTTTTCTTAGCGACAGGTGAGAACAAAAAAGCTTTGTAAACCTAACTCAATAGAAGCTGGAGACTCGGTGTGCTATTGATTAAAGGGAGAAGACGATGAAGAGGAAGTGTACACACAGTCCAGTTGCATTTTCCCCGTAATCGACTTCTGTGCTCTGGCCTGTGTTGGAGCTGTCAGCCTTGCTGGGAGGAGAGGCTTGAAAATCAAAAGTATTGTGTTTATTGACCTAGAGTCCTAGAGTTAGGATTTTAATCATGTCTCTAAGATTGCATGTTATCTACAAAAACAAGGAGATTACTCCTTTTTAAAAAAAATTTCTAGCTATAAAATTCACTGACCTATTGCTAACCTTGCTAAAAATTCAAGGTGGCTTTAATGGGCTTGTTGATATTTAATATTTGGCTTTAATATTTGGGATGTGTTTATTTATCAGGGCTATGGATTTGGGTAAAAGTCATCCCCATTTTCACTCAAGGATTACAACTCAGTTTGAGTTCTTGTCCTAGGTCCTACTCATCAGCATACTTTTTGAGTGAACAAGAATGCCAGTCCTGCCCTGCCTTGTCTCCCACTGCTCTGTAAAAACAGGCCAGTTCTTGAGCCATTGTAATCAGAGGACCATTAGATGACATGGCACAGTACCTGAGATCTCCAGTCCTAGTGTGGCGGAGAGGAGAAAATGTGACAGTAACAGAAGTCAGGGACCCTGTAGTACATCATCCCCATCAATCATGGCAGATGTGTTGGCAACATGATGGATGACACCCAAATACTGACCTTGGTGGGTCAGCCTTTGTCACATAAGTAACAGAATAAGTCAATGCAGTGGGTCTACCTACCATCAAATAGGAGCGATAAGCTGTGACTGCAGCAGAGGGAAAACGAACATTAGTGTCAAATGTTGTCTATATTTCTGAGCCAGAAGTAGCTGCTATCTTATTGTTCAACCATTGAATGGGATGGGAAATTTCAGGAAGGAGAAAAAAATCAATGTTATCAAGGCATGCTTGTAGCATTATGAGTTTTTCTTTTAACTAAGCTCTTACTTAGACAGTAGTGAGTCTGTACAATAGACATTATCTTAGGGTGAAAACTATTATAACACAGATTACTTTAAACCTGAGTATTTGCTCATATACATGCAGTTCAACACTTAGTTGGTGACAGATGGTTTGGCTTGGGGATAGACATAATTTAGTCTGGGAATTCTGGTGATTTTTCCCATGGTAGTCTTAGAATTTGTCTCTCAAAAAATCTCCCAAAGTTTCATAGTTATAAATGACCTATCCCAAATCCCTTCTCTGAATTTAAATATTACTTGATTGGTTATAGAATGTAAGGAGAAATTCTCAACAATGAGCAGCGGGACATGTGGAGGGCTTGATGGCTACTGAGGATAAAAGAAATGAAGAAAAGATTATGATCCACTTGATTTTCATAGGAAAGTGATATTGGAATAGATTGAAGCAAGATCTACCCATTTATTTTCCAGATGGCTGTATGCCATGTTTTAAGAAATTCAGTCAGCTTTATCATTGAGAACCACTTCCCTAAGCTGATGGAATCACTGAAAATCCTGTCTCCTCTCTTTTGGAATCAATATTAAAATCTCAAGAGACTCAGATATCAAGTTCTTGTCTCCTCTCCAAGGTAAAAAACTCAGGTTGGCATCCCTGAGGCATCCAGTCAAGGGGAGCCAATCAGGTGGTGCATTTACTTTTAGGGGTCAGAACTTGCATACTTCCAATCCAGTCTGTTTGAGTTGGTATGTACCTTTCTCAAGACATCTTCTGTGTCCTTACCACTGTGCCAGCTATCAGTAAAGAGTTTTTTGTTTGTTGAGAGAGAGAGAGAGAGAGAGAATCTTAAACAGGCTTCACACTTAACGTGGAGCCTGATGAGGGGCTTGATCCCATGATCCTGAGATCATGGCCTGAGCTGAAATCAAGAGTTGGACACTCAGTCAACTGAGCCACCCATGTGCCCCTAAAAAGAGGTTGTTTTAAGGCAAGCAATGAAATGTTATCATAACAAGCTTTTTGGAACTTCAAGAGGTAGGTGAAAACTGAACATGCCTATGAAGTCAGGAAGGATTTAGAGAGAAAAGGGGCAATATTATATGCATATTAGCTTTGTAAAGGTAAAGAAATCTAGGGGTGTTTCAGAGTCAACCTTCCCTCTTTTGAGATTGGTATCAGGGAGGGTGACTATATCTTCTCATGGATGGCCTGATGATATAAACTATTTGTCTGATGCAGAAAGACATTTCTTATGTTCTCCAGTTCTTGCAATTGGAGTAGATGCTGAGCATCCAAAGCATA